CTGTTATTTTTGTATCATTCGTTTTAGGTTATAGTTTGTGTAAGAAATTGCCAGACATTGTATTTTGCACCAAGAAAATAAGTAAAAAATAAAGGCCTAGTGGTTCAAAATGAATGACGAGTTTCTCGTCCTAGTGACATCTTAGACCCGCAATCGATCTTCCTGGCCTAGCAACAATGCAGACGTATGACGAGGTTCCTGACACTCGTATACCAACCTTTCTCAGCCCTGTGGCTAAATCCATGTAAGTACATGGAGGGTAGTTAAGTCCCAACCTCAACCAACCCAGAAGAGTATTCAAATTAGGGTTAAGCTACATAGATTAAATTTTTAAACCAAAATTTTAAACTAAATGATATGCTACTAATAAGAAATAAGCACGTTAATCAACATTTAAGTAATAATACAATCATCAACAACCGTATCATTTGGTTTACAAAATTTGATTTAAAATTTTGATCTCTCTAATATTACCCAGCAAATTCTGATGACAAGCTTTGGCCGGGGAGGGCACGGTGTGCTCTGACTTTCCGAATCACGAAAGCCATCTTATGATTTAAATCATTCTTATTAGTTTAGTGATCATACCTAGTCCAAGACGTGATTCCTTGCTTGGTTGCTCAATAGCTTAGCTTGGTTGGTAACATATCTGTCATCTGTGAACAAGTCCCAAAGAATGATCAAATTCCTTCTTGGCGGCTTCCTAGGCTGAAAAGAGAGAAACGTTTTGTCAAACATATATTGGTACCAATGTTGAGTCGGTTCTCGCGACCATCGCCGAAGAGCTTATCCTTCCTTTCTTCTTTCATTGAACCTTCAAAAAAATAAAAAATGTTCAATTGGTTGCTTTAGTCAGCCATTATTGTTTTAGTTGTTGATCAGCTTAAAATGTTGATCCTTTATTTTCAAGATAATCAAGGATATGATCATACGACTCGTAGATTTAGTCAAACATATATTGGTTTCAAGATGTTTTTAGTTCTAAATTTTGGGAGATTTTGGTTCAAACATGGTATTGGATTGCAGAGATAGGACGCAATCTGGGTAAAGAGAGCGTAGATTCTGATGATTTTTCTTTGTCGATTAATCATGGCACCTTATACTCAGATGGTCTATTAGAGATTCATTTGGTTTGTGCTGATGTTACAACTAGGTTTGGCCTCATATTTTAGAAACCCTATATATATGAGTTGATTTAAATAATTTTTCGAAATAACTTAAGCAGTAACATGCTCTGATATATCCATGCAAATTTATAGAGATACGTATTTGTTGACACAAAAGTTGGGAAGTCTTCTACTTCCCACACAAAAGTTGGTGTTTACAGGACTGCATGATTTAATTTAATGTTGTACATCTTTTATGCTAATCATGTGGCTGTTCTTGAGTTGATTGTACTCTTGTTATTGCATTGTATGATCTATGATAGAGCATTAGAGAATCCATTATATCCTCTTTCTGTTTATGTTAGCTCTAGTGGGATCATGGATGGATTCCAAATAATTCTTTTAAGTTAAATTACAAGCTAAAGTAAGGAGTCATAGTTTCTATGGTGGAGTTTGATTGATTTGAAGGTTTTAATATCTAGGTGATGCCAGTAAATGTTTTCTATAATTGTTGAGGCCTTCCAGAAGCAATCCCGAGAGGTTTTAAATTACATGGACTTCGTGTAACGGGAACTTATCAGAAGCTGCCCCGTTTGATTTCAGACATAATTTTTTTGCAGAAATTAAACTACATCTTCCATTCATGTCTTTTCATTTATGGTTAGTGCATATAGATATTGATGAAGAGAACACTGAGGCTATGGAAATGTCAACATTCAATCTAAGTGATACATAAGGTACAATAAGTGCACCAAGTTCTTCAAAGAGAAAGGCTAAAGGTATGCGAGTAGGTAAGATACATCAAAAGAGATCCCATGTTAGACTTTGTTTGAAGAATTGCATGTTGGTCCTGATAATAAACAACATGAAAAGTGTAAAAACTATGGGATAGTTTACGTATGTGATAGTAATTGTGGGACGAAAAACCTATTGAATCATATGGATACGTGTAGTAAAAAACATCACATTGATATGAAAAAATCTCAAGTTGGATTGCGTTCTCCTCAGTTTAACCATATTAGTTTTTGTGAGCTATTGATTGAGGCTATAGTTAAGCATGATTTGCCTTTTAGGTTTGTTGAATACGAGGGCATTAAAACTTTGTTTAAATCCATATCTCTTAATATCAAACTGCCCTGTAGAAATACAGTTAAGAAACATGTGTTGAGGATGTTTGAAGATGAAAAGATAAGACTTCGAGATTGGTTAAATACAGTTGAGGGAAGAATTTGTTTGACATCTGACCTATGGTCTTCTGCTACAACTGATGGATATCTCACACTCACAGTGTTGACAAAGAATGGAAAATGCACAAAAGAATTTAAAATTTTTGTCGTATGCCTTCTCCACATACCGGGGTTGCTTTGTCTGAAAAAATTAACGTCTTATTAGTTGAGTGGGGGATTGAAAAGAACTGTTTTCCATTACTTTGGATAATGCCTCTGCAAATGATTGTTCTGTTGAGTTATTGAAGAAACAATTAAATTTTAGAGGTTTGCTATTAATGGATGGAAAGTTCTTCCATGTTCGTTGTTGTGCTCACATTCTAAACTTGATAGTCCAAGATGGACTAAAGGAAATTGATGGATCAGTGATGAAAGTTCGTGAGTGCATCAAATATATAAAGTGTTCAGAAGGGAGAAAAAATAAGTTTTTTGTTTGCATTGCACAAATAAGGTTGGCAGGTAGTAAAAGAGGGTTGAGACAAGATGTGCCTACTAGATGGAATCGACATATACAATGCTTGATAGTGCCATTTTCTATCATCGTGCTTTTCTCAATTTGGCACTTGTTGATTCTAATTTTAGTTCATGTCCTTTCTTGGAAGAGTGGGATAAAATAGAGAAGATTTCCAATTTCTTGGGGTATTTTTATGAAGTTACTTGCTTATTTTCCGGAACAAATTACCCTACATCAAACTTGTTCTTCCCAAAAGTGTTCAAATTCCATTATTGTATTAAAGATGCTATGGTAGATTGTGATGATTTCATGAGACGGATGGGGAGTTATATGAATTTGAAGTTTGAAAAGTATTGGTCAGAGTATAGTTTGATCCTTGCCATTGCAGTGATTCTTGATCCTCGCTATAAATTGCAATTTGTAGAGTGGGGTTATGACAAGCTTTATGGTAAGGAGTCGAGAGAGTTGAAGGATGTTGGTGACACATTGTTTGCACTCTTTGGTAGTTACACGGACAAGTTCTCTCATCTTCTTGTATCCAACCCAGTTAATCAAACTCTTACTCAAATAAAAGTTGGAGACAAACTTTTTGAGATAGTATTTATATTTGTAATTCCTTTTTTTATATGCATCTTTATATTGTATGTTGATCTTTGTTTCTATTTTGTTTTTATATGTAGGAATTTGATAATATTTATCAAAATGGGTCAACTTCAGTTGAAAAAACTGAATTACATCTATATCTTGAAGGAAAGAGACTCGATAGAAAACAAGAGTTGGATATTCTTTCATGGTGGAAACTGGAGCAATTTTGTTATCCCGTACTTTCTCGTATGGCTTCTAATGTATTAACAATTTCTATCTCAACTGTTGCCTTGGAATCAGCATTTAGTATTAGTGGTAGGGTGCTTGATCAATATCGAAGTTCTTTGTTGCCTGAAACCGTTCAAAGCCTTACTCACTATGTACTAGAGATTGGCTTTTTGGCAAAGAAGGTAAATTTCATATTTCCTTGTATTTTTTTTTTTTTTTTGCTTATGTAATAGGTTATAATTGTTTTCCTTTTTTTCTTTTTATGTTTAGCTTTAGAGAAAGAAGGTGCTGACTTGGAAGAACTTACTGAAGAAATTTTTGACATGAGCCTTAACGAAAACTCAGGACAATGCTCCAGTAGTATTAGTCTTGATTAAGTATGGTATGTTTTTTAACTTGTTCTTTTAAAGACATTTTTCTACGTAATCTGCATGTAATACTATCTGAGAGATATCATTAGGAAGACAACATCCTCCTCTGCAAATCAAACATGTTCGAATCTGCTCATCCTATGCTTTGTCTATTAAATCTTGTTAAGCTAAAGCACAGTGTGTTAAAGGCTATATAGGTGATGAGTGAAGTGTAGTTGGAAAATGGCTCCTCGTTCAGCATTTCTCCATTTTCCTTATTGTTGTGTTCTTTATTATTGCAGTTGGAAAATGGCAGCAAAGTACATTGTAGGATCTATTGTGGAAACCTTTGGGCTTGCATATGTTTTCGACAATACTATATTTGACAAAAAAAATATCAGGGAAGCTAATTAGAATGCTGCTAATTTTGGCTTGGGAGGATCAACCAAGCAAATATCAAGGAACTTATCAATGAGAGTGTACTTGTAATCAGGATATAATTTTGAGGCCTCTAAGTTGTTTGTTGTGAGTTCAATCCTCATCTGACCCTTGATGAATACGCTGTAAATGATTGCCGCACGTACATTGTCTGGGTGAGGAAGGGCTACAAGAAATTGAAGCATGTATCTGTTTTAATAGGGCATTAGACATTACCTATAGTAGAACTTGTACTTGGGCTCCTTTTACTGCCTAAAGAGCGTCAATCCGTGTATCTGTTTTAATTGTAATCTACCATTCCATGTTGGCTCATGACTTGCATTGCATCCTCTGTTGCTTTTTTGCATTGATTTGGATGTAATGTAAAAAAATAAATAAATAAATAAAATAAAATAAAAAAAAAACAGTAACTGATGAAACAGGTGACCCGTTAGCTTAACGGGTTGGGTTTAGATGACCCATTAGCTTAACGGGTCAGGTTAAACATGATCCAAACCCAATAAACCCAACCCGTTTACAGGTCCACATACGAGCGAAGCAAGATAAAAAAAAAATATCTGATCACAATATAAAATGGACCGAGAAACAATATCAAGCGTGCCAAGTGCAAAGATAGAAGCAAGAAGGCTATTGACTGAAACCATATGCCTTTGCGGATTTTTACCTATTCACAACACGGAATCACCCTTCGTGGGATTTATCGTCAACAACTTCTACAAACTTAAATCTTTGTAAGAAACATAAAACCGGACTTACAGTAGATACATGCGGCAACTAAGCTTGTTAGACTTGATATTATAGGCTGTGGTAAGGAACTCTGGAACACAATATGAAGAAAGTGAACTAACTTGATCCTCAACAAAGTGAAAGCGTCTGAACCAACGAGTTATTGTTTGACCATGATCAGAAACCAGAAAGAATGATATCTGGAACACCATATGCAGAGAGAATTGCCAAGAATGAGGGTTGACATTGCTAATGAGACTTTGCAACATCCACTTTAACTGTAATGGGGGACAAGCTATTAGTTAGAGACCTGACGATTACAACACTGCAGGCCAATGCATTCCATTCTTTAACTGTAATTGCTGTTCATTCCATGTCAAAGCTATTTTTCCATGTAAATTAATGCTACTTAACTATTCGGCATCATGCCTTAGTCCCAATTTCAACTATTTTCCAACATTAATCAGAAAAACGACCACCTGCCCAAGAAATTGAAGATCAAGAAGAACAATACTATATACCAAAACTCCTAATCACAAAAATGGCTTCGTGACCTTACTGTACTCTTTCTGATTCCACGACTAGTTTGAAAATGGTGCATGTCCAACTTTAAACAGAACAACTTTGTGCCAAACTCTAAATGACATAAGCAAGAAATATGTCACCAATTTGCCAAGAAAAACCCATTTCAATGAAGTGAAAAACAAGAGAGAAAATAAGCAACCAAACCTCAAAGATGTAGAACCCAGAGAGAACAGAGAACTATCTTGTTTGGGGAAATTAGTCAAACATGTGGTATGCCAAATCTCATCCTTCATGAATCAGCAACACAAGACACAACCTTGGACCAGTAACAGAATTTTAATCCTTTACAACTGTTTTGATGAAAACATAACCTTCACAAAAAATCTTGAGCTGAGCATTTCGTCAAACAGTTGGACTGCATAAAGTTCTAAACTTTTTTCCACACCAGAAAACAAATCTGGGATCAAAGTGGCAGAAAATATAATCAGCAAGCTGATCAGAGAACACCACCAATAGGAAAGAACTATATCGAAGGCACCGAAGAAAACGCACCATAAATTGAAAACCGGATGTTATTCCCAACACCGCACCATGTCCGGAGCAAAACCTGTTTCCTGAGCAAAACCCAAATCGTAGACCACCATCACGAGCCCCTCCAAGATGAAGGCATTCCACTGGATCCAAGAATTTGCTTGAAAACCCATTTTCTTTCCTAGTGTCAGGAGGTGAAGAACTCGATGAAAATCTGAAAAATTCCGAATTCAAGAACCGAAATATTCAAGAACCGAAAATTCCCACTTCTATTTAATGATTGCGGAAGCACTGAAGAAATTAACAGAACCCACTAGACAACCGCATTCAGATTATACCACAATTTCAAAGACACATATATCACCAACAATCTTTACGTACAATCCATACCCAGTAATTACAGAACGATTACAGAAGCACCTAAGAACTTAACAGAAGAGAAATAAAACTAGAAAACAATGAAATCTAATAAAAACTGAACCACCAGAATCATGTAGTGGCTTTGATACCATATTACCTACATTGGAGAAGTAGCAGAGATGGACAATTCTAAAACCAAGAAATGAAGGTTTTGTATACTAACTTTACAATTTGTTTACAGCAGCTATATATAGCTGACTAGAGGACTAGCTCATAAGTTTTGAGTACCAAACTCTAATTTAACTCTTTCAACTAACTATTATATCATCGAATCCTTTACAAATGTGTTTTGATGAGTTCGTAATGATATATTCAACCAGCTTAAGTCATAAAAGGCTGCAACACCTCCAGTCATATGGATAAACATGCATGCGGTAGTCATGATCATATATATGATGTACATTGTTCATTGCATTCAGGGGCTTGATGTTTCAAGTGTTGAGCTGGGTTTCCATCACCATTGATGAATTATTGAAATGGATTAATTGAAACCCTACATCAATACTTTGTATAAGTTTGAATAAATTTTCTAACAAAATCAGTTGTTATATCCTTCATAGCTAGGTTGCCATGAAAAATCTGACTAAATTCTTGATTGTCCAACTATTTGAGAAAATTCGTATCTTCCACAAATCCGTCTAAAACCATGGCTTGGATTGTTTATTAACATTTCAATTACTACCATATCAAGCCCATCTTTATTATTATTGGATTTTAGGGGTAAATTTTCATTTTCACTGTTCTTTAGAAGCTATTAGTTAATGTTTCATTAACTAGGTGCATCCAATGGCAAAGTCATGAATTATCGGGGAGTGGCAAAATATAAAAGAGTAGAATCTTCTGCCCTCCTTTTTTCGAACTCCATAAAAACACATTCGGTTGCGAAAACCGGTTAAACACTTTCACAACCTCGCCCATTTCTCCGCATTTGAAATATAATTCAATCAATGCATAACCCAGGAACATATTCAATGCAACCTTGTCAAGTTTCTTCACAAACCCATGTATTATTTTCTCATATGTGAGTAGGGGTGGATTTTTTTGCCAAATTGCCGTGCCAACCGAATTACCAACTGTGCCATACCGATTTTGTGCCAAATTTTTTGTACCAATCGGTAATGGTACGGTATTGTACCGTACCGAAATTTCATGGTACGGTATTCGTAATGGATATCATTACCACGGTATTACCGTACCATACCGAAAATACAATATAATTTATAATTTATAAATTATATAATAGATAATTATATAACACATTTTTATAATATTCCAATAATTTCAAAAGAAAACCCTACTTATATTAGCATTGTTGTTGGTGACTTTGATGATTGATCTCTTAAAATTGTGGATATCAAACACAAAAGAGTTCCTAATTCTTTCACAAATAGCCAAAATATCTTTGTAACCTGATCGGATCATATTTATATATATTTTTACTTCGAATTCACTCGTCTTTTCTTAGTTAGTTCCTTACATTTTTGAGCTATTTACGTTATTTTTGTGTTTATAGGATTTGTTATGCAAAGAAAATAAAAATAGCACAAATGAGTTTTAAATAATAAATTCGTCGAAAATTGCTTTAGTCGTTCTCATTCTGTCATGGATTATTGGTAGAATTATGTCACGGCATAAACAAAAGAAATGGGGAGAGTCGGTCAAAGAGGGAGCAAGAGAGCATCATGATTTATATTTTTTTTACCTCGTTGACTCCCATATTCTTCACTTCTGAAAACAACAGGAAGCTGCTTTGCAGCTGGAAAGGAAGGAATCCAAGGTGGAAACGTGAGGAGGTGGAAGGCAGATGCTGCTTTGGCAGCTGGGGGGCGCATAAAATAATAGGAAAAGCAGCACTTGGCTGCTGGCGGGAGAGAAAGAGAAACCAGCAGAAACGGAAAGAAATAATAAAAGAAAGAAGAGCAGGACACGCGGAAAGAAAAAGAAAGACAGAAAATAAAGAAGAGGGAAGTGAGGACTTGCGGAGGGTGGAAAAAAGAGAAGGCAGCCTTGCTGCCAGAAAAAAAAAAAAAGGAAATAAAAAAAATAGAAGACAGAGAAGAGTGGAAATCGGTGAAGAAAGGAGGGGGGAGAGCTGCCCTTTGGGGCAGCGTGAAAAGAGAGCAGCAAGAAGCTGCGGGGGAATAAGCGCAGAGTGCGCACGGGATTGGGGAGATCGCTGCCCTTGGGCAGCGAGGTCAGAGAGACAGAGGCGGGAGAAGAGACGCTGCCTTGGCAGCGTGACTGAAGAGAGAGGTTAAGAAAGAAAGCTGCCATTTGGCAGCTTGAGCATGAGTTGACGTGCAGAGGTGAGTGAAAGGGCTGCCTTTGGGCAGCGTGGAATAGCAGAAGGCGGGAGAGTCCAGAGAGCAGCAAGAAGCTGCAGGGGAAAGCTGCCTTTGGCAGCTGGAGGAAAAGAGAAGGCAGCCTTGCTGCCAGAAAAAAAAAAGGGAAATAAAAAAATAGAAGAGAGAGGAGAGACAGCAGCGTGAGAGAGGGAGGGAGCTGCCCTTTTGGGCAGCGTGAAGACAGACAGAAAATGGAAAATAACAGAAGAGGGAGACAGAGGAGACGTGGGGGACTGAAGGCTGCCTTGCAGCGTGGGAAAGTAGAACGGGAAAAGAAAAGAATAGAGTACGGGCAGGTCAACAAGAACGGACAGAGAGCAGGGAAGGAGAAACGGGCAGAAAGCAGCAGATCCTCTTTCGGTTTAATTTTTCCAAACTTCTTTTTTATTTCTGTTTTTAATAATGTGAAATTAAATTTATGTTGGCTAGAGGTTAATTCAAAGCCATGATTATATTTGTAATATGAATTGATTACCTTCAGTTGTGATTTCATAAGTTGTGAATTCAATTTACTTATCCGTTCGTATAAAAACTGATTTGTGTATGTTGGTTGAGAGTGCACGCTTAATTTACATGCATGAATTTGATGCTAGAATATAAGTGAATTTCACCTAATCGTTATGAACTTATTTTCACAAGTAGTAAAGGTTGCTAGTCACAATCACGTTAAGTAAATTCTTGGCAAGAGTATCATGCTTTTCATAGTTACGAATGCCTCGTCAATGCTTATAGTTTTCACAAAGTTTAATGATCTTTGATTGTATCTCTATTGTGCTTTTCACGTAGGGGACTTTTGAAGAATGTTTTGAATTGTTGTATGCGTTTTCCCGTCCAATTCAATAACTTAAGGAAAACTTGAAGATTAAAAAAGTGCTGTTCACGGTTAATCTGGAGTTTTGAGATTCACAATTTATTGAAAGAACAACTGAAAATCAATTTAGGTTGCATATGTGTCATGTGTGGAGAAGAACCCTCTAGCTAGTCCGTCATTTATCATTTTACCTTAATTTTATGTTTTTATCAATTCTGTAATTTAATTAAGTTTAATTTACTTTTCATCAAAACCAAACACCCATCCATTATTAAATTATATTATTTAGTTAGTTTTCTTTATTGTTAGTCTTTTAATTTAATTTCCGTCCATTTCAGTTCCTAGTGTTTAATTTAATTGTTTTCATTATTTTGAGTCATTTTAAGTGTGTTTCGAGTTATTAGAGTTTTTAGCCTAATTTTATGTCCTTGAGTCTTATTTAATATTTTTAAATTAATTTAGAATAGATTAGCAATCCCTCCTAATCCTCGGCCTAGAACAATACCCTACTTACATCTATACTACAATTGTCAAAAAGAGGGTTTAATTTGTGTGTTAACTTATTTTACGCATCATAACCCCCACTTCTACTGTTGCTAGTGAAAATGCATTTAGCCTAGGGAGGAGGCTTGTGGACCCTTTTAGGGTATCCTTGACCTCTAAAATAATGGAGTCACTAGTGCGTACTAGTGGTTGGCTTAGGGCAGATGAAGTAAACTTCTACAAGAAAGCAACGGAAGATATGCTTCAATTTTACAAGGAAATGGAAGAAGAGAAAACAAGAAAGATATGCTTTAATTTTTTTAGTAAATTTGTTATTAAATGGTTTTCAACTTTAATTCTTCTTGCTACTAATTAATATGTTTTCTTTGTTTGTAATGTAGGCTTGACACAAACTCAATCTTCTACAAATTCAATGCCTCCTCCAAAAGCTTCGACATCTCAAGCTTGAATAATTGATCAATGAATTCTCCTTTTTGAAGTTTACTTCCAATTTTCATTTGGTTTGAAATTTTAATTTCTATTTGGATTGTTGACTTCTATTTGTTTTGGTTCGTAACTTCTATTTGGATTGTAAGCTTAATTTTCATGATGAATCTTGATGCATCATTTGCATTATTATGTATGTGAATTGTGAATGATGAATAATAGATGAATTTAATCTATAATGTATGAGATAAAGGTACCCAAAAAAAAAGTTTTTCCCTTGAATTGGGTTAAAAAAACAAAAACAGATTTTGTCCCATAACAAAATGGCAATTACCATTGTCATACCATGTTAACCGAACTTTTGGCAATACCGAACTTCGTATACCGAAAGTTTGGTACGGTAATGGTAATAGATTTTACCAAACCAAAAGTTTGGTACAGTAATTGGTACAAGGGTTTTGGTACGGTGACTGTACCGAACCCAACCCTATATGTGAGTGCCTTAACCTTGCACACACCTTCGGAGCAATATGAATAGTAAAACTATGGGGCTTCTCATCATTGCCACTTGACTCAAATATCATGTTATTGAAGAGATACAAGGTATATCTTCTCATCAATTCTCTATATAGTAGCTCCTGAGCGTAGCATTCAAGAGACAGTTAAGTGGGGTGTTTCGTCAAATACCTTGCGGGTATGATCGAGTGACTCATATAATTTGTAAGTATTCCTATTAAGATTCCCTCACTCAAAATTGCATTAAAATACCTCTTGACCATCATATACAGGTTGTGGCACATAATGGCCTTAAATAGAGCCTCATAGAACTTGAAACTTCTCTTTACACCCACAGCCTTACCGTAGCCCTCCTTAACGATGCCGTTTTATGTATTTTTTATTGCATGACCAAAACGATGTCGTTTTGGCCCGGTTGTTTAAAAAAATAAAACACATAAAAAGTAACAAAGCATAAAATAGGAATTTTAATTATTTTAAAAGACTTTTAGAATCTTGGTGTAATTAATTACGATTTTAAAAAGTCAATTCAAATACAAGGGTAGTTAATTAAAGGATTTTAAAGAGCTTTAGAATTTTGACGTAGTCAATTAGGATTTAAAGGACCTTTATAGATTCTGTGCAAATCTGTATGCCTAGGATTTCTTTTCAACCTTCTTCGCTTTCTTTCTCTCTCTCCCCATTCCATTGAAAATATTTCTCCATTTTTTACTCTGTT